GACCTGGAATTGGAATACATCGATATGAAATCCATTGATTCCTCCAGTCACCCTGATGATGAAGACGTTTGTATTGGCGAAAAAGAAGGAATAATGAATATCATTAGGCCTGAATCCACTACTGACCCAAAAGAATTGCATCCTATCCCAGACAATGGCTTCACTTATGAGCAGACGTTTTCCCAACCAGCTACATATGAAACGATCTATTCTAGCGAGAGTGATTACAGAATGGAATACGGAATCAAAGGGGAGACGAAGTATGAACATTTTACGTATAATTAGGCAAACAACGAAAATTCTTGTGTTGGACACGCTTTGGGAAACTAACAAAAAAAAAAAAATGGGTAGGTCGGTAGAAAAAGTACACGAAAGTACAACAAAGCCATTTTAAAATCTATATTGAAGAACAAAACGATAGAATAAAACTGTTCCATCGCCTACCGTCTCAAGATGGGCCCATTCAAGCCTTTTTAGCTTAAATGGCCTAAAAAAAAATAAAAATAAAAAATAAAATAAAATGCTGACCCTCAATTTCAAACTTTTGTGTAAAGCTCTATCCAGACCACTGTTGTATGCCCATATATAGTCATGATGTGCCTATATATTGTCATGATGTTCCCATATATAGTCATGATGTGCCTATAGTTGGTCATGATGTGATGTTATCAGTTTGTTATTCTGGACAAGGATTTAAAATTTACAAACCTAGTAATTTGTTTTTTCGAATGTGCAATAGATGAAATAAATATTTTAATTATCTGATATATAGTAGCAGTATGATACTTACTGGCCATATATGTATCTGCATAATACTCGCATATTTTCTAAAGTGAAATGTAAATTAATGCACTATTACAAATAGCTAATATAGTTGTGTTTTCTTCATGCAGGCCTACAAATTATTATCTACATGCTACAATATTTGCAGCCTGTATTGGTTGAGTATTTTATTTTAACATGCATTTTCGATGTTTTGCTATTGGATTGATGAAAATATATTTATTTTAAATCAATTATATTGTTAATCTGTATATCACCTATATTGGTATTGAGTTCACTAACCTATTTTATAACTATAATACTAGATTTTCTACTTCTAGAATGTCAATTTGTAAACAAAAATCTGGTACACATGGTAGATTTTCATTTATCGATACCGCTATTGATGAATGGAATAAATTACCTTATGATGTTCAAAATGCACAATCCTTTTATACATTCAAAAAAAAAATCACTAAGAACCACTATTAGTATTCTGAACCTCTAAATAATATATAGTTTAAAGTCTTTGATTTCAATTAGGTTGAATTTGACTCTGATGTTTTGAAAATGTATATTTATTGTATTGTTTTCCTTATTGTTCTATTAATATAATCTGTAATTTTTGTATTCTCATTTAGGGACCACAGTGGAAATAAGTTGCTTTTTGTACTTTTCTGTGTTTCTATCCTTGAATGTTTTTACTTATAATTACTTCAGAATGAATAAATTTAAAAAAAATCCTTGCCTTGATTTAGTACAGAATTATAACTTTGAGGGTTAGTTTTTAATTGATCGTGCATTAAATATGAGATACTGTAAAGTTGTATAGAACCCGTAAGAATAATATAGTACGGTATACAAAGTAAACCTTGTTTGCTCTTATGCCGTAGTCATCTATACAAAAGAAAAAATCAAGGGAAGCTACCGGATGTTAAAGTGGCAAAAATCGAAATTGTTTATTATTTTCAAACTACAAAATACATAGCCAGTATTAATTATAAACTTGGAAAGATTTTTTGAACTTATTTGTTCAAACGTTTTAGGTTGCTTACTTTTCCATATATTTCATATATTTACTTTATCTTTTTTCACATTTGAACAAAATGGGTATGCTCGGGCACCGTAAAAATCCCTGGTTACTCCACTGATCAGAGACACAGAAAGTCCAATTAATGATGTTAATCATCCCTAAGTAGACTACATGTCCCGATACATTCATGTATTGAATTTTGTTCAAATGACATACATGAATTCACGGCACCGACAATTAATCTGATAGTCTTGTATTAAGTAAATACAAAATAATAAAACAATGTGGATATTCTTCCGACCTGCTGTAGTACAGTAAGATAGGTTAAGGTAGAGTCAGCTCCACCAATCATTACCTCGGAAAAATATCCACTCCCTTAATAAAAACGTTGTGTAAATTAGTATTATTCAAAATTTTAAACAATCTTTAGTTTTCAAGTTGTTATAATTTTAAACAGTCTTATAATTTTAAACCCATATTTTAAACGATTTTAGACCTTAGTATTCTTTCATCTTAATCATTATTTTGTACAGTTGTTACGTATTTGTCACACCTTTTCTACGTATCTTTACTTAGTACTTTATTCAATATTTTCTGTAAGTCAGAAAGATAATTTCTATTAATCTTCTATGATAATATGGACAAATCAAGCATTAATTTTCCAGTTTTTGGTAGTACCATTCGCTCTACCACCTATTGTTATTATAATATCACTGTTGCTATCATCGTCATGCTCATTATTATAATCATCATTAATTATTTGTATTATTATCATGATCATCATCGTAATAATAATATTTATTATTATTATTATTATTACTTTAATATTATTAATATTGATGGTCAAAGCCATAGGTAAAAAAAAAAAACACGAACCATTGTGACGGACTGGTGGAACTCATGGAGTTATAAAAATACTCCTAAGCATTGTTTTTAATGGCGCCCTCAATTTAATATGAAAGTTGGTAATCTGCATACTGGTTCTGTGCTGGTAGTTGAAATACAACCACTTCAGCCGAGGGTGGGTTTGACTGCTTAGGGTGACGTCATGCATAATTTCAGCTATACTACGTCTTCATTCCTAATCTCCTCGACAAAGACTGGGCCCTGCAGTAATCACACAGCATAGCAAAATACAGTACCGTACAACCAATGTAGAGACTTTAATAAGTTGTCCCTGTGTGGTGTTTTTTTCCCCCCAAAAATTAGGATCCTTGGAATATTACCAATTGATGGGGACTGCACGGAGCGAAATAATACATATAGCTGGTCTTATTCATTTTAGGGGTAGGGATTAGGCCGTAATCATAGAAAGAAATGAAAACAATCAATGGTCTAATACTGCTTACTACTAAAATACTTAATCATGAATTTTCCAATTTTAATCGGATGAAGAATTTATCTAACTGGAAGAGACAATGGGCCTAATAAATAAATATTACAACTTTTACAACATGATTGCTGAAGTTTAGATTTATTATTGTTTCACTGGTTGTACGGTACTGTATTTTGCTATGCCCACTCTTTGTTGAGGAGATTTGGAAAGAAGACGGACTGTAGTATTGCTGAAATTATGCATGACGTCACCATAAGAAGCCACGCCCCTCTGCTGAAGCGGTTGGAATTAGCAATCACCCGTTCTGAAGGTGGTGGTGTTTTTCCTATGCATTGCTTCGTCGCCTGGTTGGTACTCAAGTTATAATACTCTATGATGGAAGGGCACCATGTAGTATAATGTTTAGAATGCTAACGTGTCTGGAAATATTCTGGACAGCAGTGGGAATTTATGTGAAGTACCATAAATGAACTTGTTTGGACTTAAGGCAAACATAAAGTACTGGACATGACTTATATATTTTACACAGAACAATATCATTGTTAATGTTACAGGTTCACCTCATTTCTGTTTAAAATTAGAGGTATTTACTGGTTTATTTGACATGCTCTGTATCACCAGAAAATATAGCTTTTTTATTTAATTTATTAGAAGTTTCAACTTTAAAAACGTGAACTAATTGCGTTTTTCTCAAAATTTGACATTTTCACCTCGTCGTTTTTCTGCTGCTTTTTATATTTTGGTACCTAATGATCATGAAACCACCGATTATGTTTGAATTTACTTTGCTTGACTCATTTTCATATTATTAAATTTTGTGAAATTATCCAGAATTAAGCCTATAATGAATTCAGAAACTGTTTTGTTAAGTATTTAATTGAATTATGAGTTACACCTAATTCTAATTAATTGGGACTGGTATCATCCTAAATACTCAAATATCACTGATCATTATCCACTATTTTGTATTGACAAATCGTTTTGACCGACGAATGAAAATCGTGACAAAACAAGTACGACGTACGTAAAAACACAGAAAACAATAAAGGTGAAATAGAATACAGGTAGAACAACAACAATGACATGAGGTCTTGGCAAGCACCTGCAATCTGATAAAATAAGTCTATTCCTGCAAAAATTTCAAATGAAACAAACATTTAGTACTCGGCCACTATAACAAGCAAAAGATTTTAAATACTTTTTCATTAATATATGGGAGCAAATGAATAGAGATATAGAAAATAGAGGGCAACATAATATTATCTCGTAAATCGTTTTTATCTGCCAATCAACTCAACTCGATGTTTTTGAACGAGACTTGGGGAAAGGAGATTAAAACTTACATTAATAAAATGAATAAATTAAATCAACGGGATTCAATTTTCACTGATGCCTGATAGGTCTATACTTGTCACATAATAAGAAATGTATTGTTTAATTTACAGATTTAATTTAATATTAACTATATACATATTGTTTGCCGGTATTTATTATAAATATACTTTATTTTATATCTTATTTTTTAAGATATAAAAAATATCAGCTTTAAATGACTGCCTTGTGAGATTAAGTTGATGATATCATATGATATACAGTAGGTATAGCTATAACAATTGACGAGGTCTTTTTAAATTCGGGGTATATTTTAAAACTAAGTTCTGAAGGAGTGCTCGCTCTTCCAGTACCCAATTCGACATTGACTGTCTTGTGAGATTAAGTTGATGATACCATATAATATACAGTAAGTATAGCTATAACAATTGACGAGGTCTTTTTAAATTCGGGGTATATTTGAAAACTAAGTTCTGAAGGAGTGCTCGCTCTTCCAGTACCCAAAACTGAATCTGGTCGCAGATGATAATTTAGGGGAAGGAAACTATATAACTCTACCCAAGTGAGTCGATAGTTAGTGATTTGTCCTAATATATTGTTCCAATGACCTTGATATATTATTGTTATCTATATATTAATTCTGCTAATCTCCTCCGCGTAACTTCACATATCTCCTCTGAAACCTCTGGCAGGAATGTGCTCATATCTCATACACTGGGGTTTCTATATCACGACCACGATGCGCTACTTTTTTAGTCTGGATATTGGATAACAACTAAAATAAACAGCCAAAAATCACCGAAAATCATTACCAGTTTCGCCATGTTTCGCAAGTTGCTGACGTCACATAAACAAATCCCCCCATGCTAATCTGTACCGCTGTGCTCAGGTCTAAAAAAAAAACAGTCTATGTTTTGCAGCTTCACCAAGCCATAGTGCATTGAGATAGCGACACTGAAGCTTAAGTTTACGTTCAAGCCACCACCACCAATCAACACCTCGAATTTACGTCACACACGTCGGGACAATGTCCACAGGCTATTTTGTCAGTTACATATTTATATATATTTTTAGTCTGGATTGGATAACAACGAAACAACAGACAGAAACTACCGAAAATAAGTACCAGTTTCGCCATGTTTCGCGAATTACTGACGTCACAAATAAATCCCCTCTGTTAATCTGTACCGAATCTCCTCTGTTAATCTGTACTGCTCCACTTACATGGTTCAAGAAAAACATTTTCTCTCATGCCCAACTAATAGGCTAGACCTATATGCTGTATTTTCAAGTAGGCCTACTAATTGGTAGGCCTGTAGGAAACAGGAGAAACTTGTTTGCGAATAAATGGTTTATTTCGTTAAAATTTGTGTTCATCTTGATTTCGCTTAGATTTTTTGGCTTTATTATTCTTGATTTAAGCTGCAACAGGGAAGTTAGCAAGTAAGAAAAGAGGAAGCTAGAAAAGCTACTCAAAAAATCATGCAAAGCAGAAGCTGATTTGAATTTTCTGAATTATTATTATTATTATTATTATTATTATTATTATTATTATTATTATTATTATTATTATTATCA